CTCCCTGCCTTATGAATACCAAAGAAAAAAATTGAAGGTCATGGAACTTCTGTATGCATGATGTAATCATATAATCTTCTAACACACTTCTGACTAATACAAAAAAAAATGCGAGTCTTCGTATATATTGTTTTTTATTCTAATTTCATATTCGCTAAACTTTGCACAGAAATGAAGCAGAATTATAAATATCTCGGTTGAAAGAATTTTGGTATTAATTATTTGGAGAATAATTGTAACAAAGCTAAAAAATATGCTTTACTACATGTAGGGTACGGGATGGGCCAGGCCAGATCGAGCTTATTTAAACCTAACTTGGGCCCATTTAAAACCTAACCTGATAAAAAATTTTCATGATAGGTTGAGTTCAAAGCCCGACCTGACCCGACTTCAATCATTTATATTATATTATATTAGAGTTATATTACTTTAAGCTTTTATGCATTTCTCACCTCAAATTCATATCTATGTTCAATACAATTTAAAAACTGAACTGCTTAAATATTATTCTTTAAATGCTAAGCCCGAATTCTATCACTAAATTTATTCAGTGTTGGCGATGAAATTACTGAATTACAGCATTCTACTATATGGTAGACTTAATTATAGCACAGGACCTAATTGCCATAATGCTGTAATATCATAATACTATAGTACCTTTGTAGTGTAATAATGCGATACCATAATACTATTATAATAATATTTAATGTAATACAATCAATCAAACCATGGGTTTTATCACAAAATCCAAAAGGACCCAATACCGACAAAGTTAGCCAGCATTAGTTATAATGCTAGCCAATTTATGTTTTTTCAAGAAAATAGGTTTTGAGATTTTGTGATAGAACTGAACAGATAAATAAAGCACTAAAAAACAGGAACTTTAGGCCATACAAAGTTAATTTTTTGGTTCTCATAACATGGGACAAAAAAAATGACCCATCCGCCCAAACTTTTATTTAAAAATTTTATATATAAAAAATTTAAAATTTTTTAAAAAATTTTTTGAAATCCCACCTGCCTATTAAAACATATAAAAATTTTTTCAAAATATGACCTGGCCAGGTTATAAGAACCAAAAAATTAAGTTTATATGGCCTTATATACATTATTATAATCTTTATAACTTAAAGCTCAAAACTTTTGAGTTTTAATAATAAAAAATTAACCCATTGATAATTTGATAATTCATGTGTGATTACAGTATATGTAAAATTATAATAGGATTAAACCTTGAAGTCTAAATTTTCATAAATTTAATAGAGAATGATACTGCACATTATCAAGTAGTTTCTAATTAATAATTCGAATAATTTATTAATATTTATCATTATCAATTCAAGAGGTCCCATCACTAGGTGCGGTACAAAGAATCATAACAATAAGTTAAGTTATATTTTAATTTACTATATTCACTACTAAAAGTATTTTATTACTTATTTTAACGACCAAGATGGGTTTGCAAATAATTTAATATTTACTAAAGTATTATATCATATTAGTTTGATAAATTAGTGAGTATAATGATTGATAGTTTTATTAACCAATGTATATTTTAAAAAATAAGATATCTAAATTTGTAGATATACATTATATTTTGTAAGTATATTAGTTATTATTTTAAATAACTTCAAGATAAAATGAAATTTCAATCATATAAATTCTGGATGATTAAAGTTACATTTCTCTTAGCGTCACTAATTTATTACTATATTAATTGGTATACTGTACTTTAAGAAAGTACAGAGTAATAAAAAAATGTTCCTAGTCAGTTATTTAAACAAAGCTATTTGCGAATCTCTGTTAGGGTAGGGTCTTTCAAAATTAACATATAAAAATTAGTTTCGCAAAAAAAGTTCTAAATAAATCCGGAATTGTTAATGGGTATTAAAGTAGTATTTTACAAAGAATACTCAGACTAAAACTGTGCATATAATTAATATTGAAAACACACTACCGGCAACAGGCACCACTTGTCTCTCACATGTACCTGTAGCAAGTAGCAGTCTTTCAAACTCGCTGCGTAAACGGGATCCGGGTTCGAATAGACAGTTTTGGAGGACCTGCTACTGGCGATAGAAGCATGTGATAGACAAATAGAGCTTAACGCCGGTAGTGTGTTTTCCATATTAATTATACGTGCAGTTTCAGTTCTGGTATCCTTTGTGAAATGCTAAATTTATACTCATCAAAAATACCGGATCCGTTCGGATCCTTTCTGTGGAATACTAAATGTGATTATCATTTACTGCAACTTAATTTCGTATTAATTTAATCAAGTGAACTTGATGTTATTTATCAAACCAGTTCTTCACTGATAATCTTTTTGTAGACACAAAACTTCACCAACAAGTTTATTTTACAGACATTTAAATCACTGATGATTAATTATCGACATATACATTTTACCGGCACATTTATTTCGCCGACACTTAATTCACTGACAATTAATTCACCAACAAGTTTAATTCATGTAGTTTGAAGAAAATGAACGTAATTATATAATTAAACACTCAGCTTAAGTTAGGGTTAGTGTTAGGGTTTAAAATTAAAATACTATCAGATTTTTGATAATATTTGAACGCATAGTTATTCTATTATCACTCATGGCTGAAATATAACATAACTTGCTTTACTGTTGCCAATTTAATCATGGTCTGCAGCTTGAGCGTTTACGTCAGCTTTCGCATTAGCAACATAGAATAATTTAGGATAATTTATGACAATCTAGGAATTTTTAGAACACTCAAAAACAAGTCTTTATTTTAAGGACAATCCGAAAACCAACTTACTCTCAGCTATAAAAAATAACCTTGACCGAATAGTAAAAAAAAATTAAGATTTTTTGCTACGAACTTTGATAATCAATATTTTCTATTCGCAAAACTACTGTGCATTATCTTAATTTTAAAAATTACTTTAAACTATAAACACTAGCGGAGTATTACCATCTGTTATTCTATGTTATTGCGGCACAAAGTAATTATGGCAAATAATACGGCACATGCCGAACCATATTAATTTGCTAAATTAATTCTACCACCAACACTAGTTTTGACACCTTTTGTCAGTTTCGTCATTTCATCATTTAAGATTTTAATTGACAAAAGACGAACTTAGATTACGCGTATCATCAGCACGAACCTTAAGGTTTCATCTAACAACTATATTTCTGCTCAAAGTATAATTCCCGGGTAAGAATTTTTAAATTTATATCAGGTTTGATCGGGCTATATGGGTCAATGAACAGAGCCCGAACCCGACCCGATACTTTAATAAGCCCGGCTCGAACCCGACCCGATTTATAATGGGTCAATAATTTGAACCCGGCCCGACCCGCAAAATTTCGAGTTGAATCCAATCTGTCCCGGCTATACTATTAACTCGAATAACAGGCGATATGGTTCTATGAGCCACATGTTTCAAATATAAGCTGGCTTGCAAAAAAGCTTTACATCGCTCTGCCAAATCTAGTAGCATTCTATGAAATGCTTATGAAGGATTTTCTAAGTTACCCGACATATGTATTGTTTTTTTTTTTATCCCATCCATAACATTTTTATGATGATATTCCGTCTATTCTGAGAACCAATTTCACACCACCTCCTCACACCTGAGATTTGGGCCCTGATGGTCGTTCGTGGTGTATGAGTGTTGAATAATAAGCAGAATATAGAATTTTCGTATATTGACTCTTCTATTTTTATAGAGCAAGCAGAGAACGCAATATATGGGGTGTCTCGTATTAAAAGGGCCCATTTTGAAATTTTTCGAAAAATGAGTTTTTATTAGATTCATGTAAATTTTGACACGATTGACATTTTTCAATTATAAATGAAAGTCGATTTGCATAATGAAAAATAGAGATAATGTAAAAGAAAAATTACACGAAGCTTCCTAAGGCAAAGCACATCACGAGATTACCCGATAGTCATCTGTTACTTTTAACCAATCAAAATTGTGAAATTTGATTAATCCCGGATCAGTCCGAAAATCAAAACAAATGATTATCTCAAAATGAGATATATGTCAAAATGGTCCCTTTTAATATGAGGCACCCCATATGATCGCAAAATCACATTAATGTTATCTTTGTAATGTAAATTACGCAAGGTAGGGTAGGGTATTATGACGCGAGTGGGTAATGATCAGAATCGAAAAATTTTAGTATCATTCGATTCGTCTTACTGAGACGAATCAATTTTTTTTTGATTCTAATTGCCAAACCGCAAGATATAAGTAAAAGTCGTATTATTTATGCCAGCATCAATTTCTTTTAATTTTTATTATATATTTCCTCATTTGGAGGAAAGATGTAGTATGTACGTAAAAAAAAAAATAATACTAATTTTTATTATCTCTCCCATCTCTATGTATTTTTGAAAAGCGCAATAAAATTCAAATAATATGAAAATTCCACCGTTTGGCGTTTTCTAAACAATTATGTTCTTGTTTATGTATTAAGTGGAAAATGATGTTTAAATTATTAAATGTATTCCAAATCAATTTTAGCTGTTTTACAACATAAACAGTACTACGTGTAACTGCATCCTGTGAAATTCGAACCTTGTTAATGAAAAAAATTCCTTTTTGATTGAATTGTAATAATAGGTTAATAGGTTGTTCAATAAGGTAATTTTATGAAAATTTGGCCAACAAATCATTCGCATGACTAAAACTACGTTAAGCACGGGGGTTTTGTGGTAACTTACTACTACTGGTCAATAAGTTTGTTTAAAAGTGCGGCTATTGTAGGAAAGGTTCGTGATTGTAGAACATAAAATATAGACACTTTCGGAATAAAATATAAATTATAATTACCAAAATTTATTTTACAGCTCTAGTTTCTGAATTTTAATATATACGTGTAACATAATAACGATGCAAAATTGAGTTATACATTATATTTTTATACTGCGCAGTATAGTATAGTCGGTTAATTATTATAATAATGCTAAAAATACATGGTTGAATAAATTTAAAGAAAATTAGGTTGCATTTCATCCTTCATCCCATAAGCCATCATTCCCATTGATTATTGCAGTGTTGTTTGTATTAGCAATTATTCCACCTCCTGATGTTGTATTAGTTGGTGACATCATTATAATTGGATCAATTATTCGTAATTCTTCCTTGAGATTATTACGAGCTAATGTATCTACTTCCTTCGATACTTGAGAAATTATTTTCTGAAATCAAATATATATATAGATTAATAATTAATTAATAATGATTCGCAAATGCAGTGTAATCTGTGTGCAAATTTTACGAAATAAAATTCATATATGAAAATATAATGGTATAATTCTTCAGTTCAGATTTTATATACTGATTAGATGACAATATAAATACAGTCAGGTCTTGTCACAACGAATACATGAAATATATGAAATATATTAAAATTTCTGTTGTGACAACTTAAGGTTCCCTATAACAAGGCTTGACTTTATATAATCGTATTTAATATATATATATATGTTTTCTACCTTAAATTTTCCATCAACTTTCAGCACACTTTCTATGAAATTGGTTGCCACTATGTTATTAGCCCCTAGCAGTTTGTTATACACTTCCACAAGCATGTCACATAATGTATAGAATGTCTGAAAGTAATCCAAATCGAAAGGCTGTAGAAAATAAAAGAATAAATTTTTAGATATTTGATATACTGCAAAATTTATTGAAAACATTGGAATTCTACTTACTATATTTGGCACAAAAAGATATGTATATTCTCCTTCCTGAAATGATGAGTCTTCATGTTTTGTTATTTTTGATTTTCTAAAAAATATTTTCTTCATAAATATTTTAAGAATTGTTAGCCTTATTCAACTAAATTAGCGATGTAAACCAAACCCGAATGGGACTGTTGTAATTCCAAACCCAATACAAAACCCAAACCGGTGGCCCATTCATTTTTGCATATCCCATAATCTTTATGAAATAAACATGGCGCATGTGATAGTGCAGGGGAATTATTTGTGGAATAATTCTCCTGCATCATTGTCGAATCTAGTATAGAGCTGTTACCCGGTTGGCTTGACCGTGCGGGTCACGGGTCAGAAACTGCCTTGACCCGGGTTAAACGGATCAGTTAAATGGACAGATAAATTGTAATGAACCGGTTTTTAGAAAATGAATGAACTCAAATTACGGATTACAAAACCGAGAAGTTTCGATTTAAATATTTATATGTCAAGATTTAAAATCTAAAATATAAATTATTGCACGGGTCTTATGTGACAACTCGTGCTTTACTTATTGGCACGGGATTGTTACGTCAGACACCGTGCAATAAGATAATTATTGTATGGGCATATTGAATAACTAACCCAGTTACATACACGAGCTCATATTTAAATCCCGTGGCTTCGGCACGGAATATGAACCCGTGTGTAACTGGGTTATTCACTACATACCCATACTATAACGATAAATTATCAAGCTTGACTTATGTGACTATTGACCCGAGTCACAGCTCTAATCTAGTAAAAACCTTTGGGAATCTACTAAATCCCAAACTGTCGGGTTTGGTTTACATCGCTTCACTAAGCTAAATGCACGAATGAATGTGCATTATGTTTACCATTTTTTGTTTAGAGTGATCATTGGTGTGATATTCAAATTCTTGTAGCATCACATTCAAGGCTTTGACGTAGTCTTGTGGATTACTAATATCAAGTATTGATGCCAATGAGCAGCCAAGAATAAAAAAGTTTCCTGTACTATAAAATAAACATAATAAGTATAATAAGCCAAAATTCAGTGTTTAATATCTAATGTTCTCAGTGTTCCCAAGAACATTTAAAAAAAATTAGGAACAATAGATTTAAAATTTATGTTCCCTCTTAGGAACAAACAGGGAACATAAAATCTATAACTATAGAAAATTAAAAGTATATATAATCTATACCGGAGTATAATGCTGGACAGAATTAAGAAATAGAAATGCAAAAATTTCCGAAAACTTCCGAAAAGAAAAAGATGAGAAGGGTCAGAGTAGAGATGCTGGTGAAATTAATTTCATCAATTCAACACCAATTTCACCAATTGTGGTGAAATTATTTCACCAGCATCTTTAGGTCAGAGCAAATTTCCGAAGGGAAAATATAAAAGAAAGGGAGAGAATAATAATATTTTTAAATTTCTAAATTTACGTTCTCGGGAACAAAAAAAACTTTTCAGATATATTTCACTGATTGTAACGCTGAAATGATATAATTGATTTTACCGTTTCTTCATTCTGCTATTTTCGTACATCGATCCTAAATCTTCTTTGCTTAAACATACTGTGTTAAACCAATGTATCCTTCCCTCATGAACTCGCTTCAAATATGAAAAAGTCGTTATACGTTTTTGCACAAGCTCATATAAAAAGTCATATGAAGACGTGGTTCCAGTGTGATCTGATGAAGAGTTTGAAGGTGAACGAGGACTTGGTGTTGGAAAGTGTGCGGCTGGTAAAATTGTATTCGCAGTGGCGTTCGGTGTTAGGGCATTTGCAACGTTTGAATTTGCTGTTTTGTCCATGCGCGTATAGTTGTTAGACGAAACCTTTTTTTGCTTGATGACGAAGTCGAAACCTAAGCTCTAAATGACGAAACCTCTGTCGAAAGTCGAAACCTCAAATCCTTCTGACGAAAGTCGAAACTCCAAACTTAAAATGACGCTCGTTAAAAAAAATTTTATTATTTAAACAAAATTATTGAGGCTTTTTAGGCTTTTATTTATATTTCTGTGTTTAAATTCTGTGGTTCACAGAAAATCATCGTACCTGAATTAGTGTAATTTTTTATCCATCTTGATTGTAATACGTACAAGTCATGCGTTTGTCGATGCGCTGAGAGTTTTTTCAGCTCTAAATCTCATACGCAATACTACGAAACACAGTGTAGTGCGCCATAATACTCCCCAAATATAAAAAACAGAATATTTTTTTGAGTAGATTTTGAAAGTTCATACGTATTCAAACTTTTTTTTTTTAAAAGTCGATTTTTTTTTTTCATTGGCAGATAAATATATTTTTTTCTGGAAATTTTTATATAATCCCCATAGTTTAAAATTTAGATATATCATAAAAGTATACCGTATTTACCCAACATGTAGACCGTCAATTTTTGACTTATACCCCGGGTACCTAAGTATGATACTATGCTTCTGTACCCGGGAAAACATAAATACGGTAGTATACGTATATGACTTATATGTTAGATTGCAATATTATATTATTGATATTTGAGATATATGACATTTTTATAATTTGCGGACTATTATCAAATTTTATATTAAAAAATCGCAAGCCGTAAAAAAGTTGCAATGAGTATTTGCAGCAAGCGATACTATATCGGAGTGGAAATTTTACTATCCAGACTTGTGGTACCCCTGTACGATAATAACAGGATATTTTACAAGAAAAAACATTCCTTTCGATTTTGCAAAACGATAAAGTGACAAAAAAGTAATAAATAAAACAATGATACAATATATTCATTGGCATCTGGCGTAGAATCATATATCACTTCACATTAGAACTTAAGATTACAGTATCTTAAATGAAATAAGCTTTTACATTAATAAATATTGATATTAAATTATAAAATTGATAGGAATAAAATTACTGAGCGTAAGAAAAAGAAAAAGATCACAAAAATTAATTGCGAACAAATAAAATCAAGATCATAAGGTTAAGAATCCGGCCGGCTCAGGACCTTAAAAAGATAGATTGACCCTTGTTGGAATCGAACCAGCGATATCAAAATCTTGTCATAAGACTAAGGACTTAGGCTTTAAAAAAAATAGATTGACCATTGTTGGAATCAAACCAAGTCTTATCATAAGACTAAGAAACCAACTAACGTAGGGCCTTAAAAAAATAAAGTTTTTACATGATGCATAGCAATTATAGCGTCAAAATCTTGGAAAGTTTTACATGACGCCAGAATCCAACTATAGCGCCAAACTTTAAACCTTGGAAATAAGGAAATGGAACTATACCCCTTGAGGAACTCGGGAATAGAACAGTATGAACTTAAGAAGAATGTCGTATTCACACTCGTATCCCATTTAGGTGTAAGAGACCAAGAGCCCCCCTTGCAGCACAAGCTACATTGGGAACCGCGTTGAGAAAAAAAAGCAATATATTAGACCCACTTCTAAATAATTTCCAAAAACTTTTTTACTACAACAAGGTACATAATTAACTCTTTCTTCAGAATCAGTAGATCTTATACAGAAAAAAAACCAAAAGTTGCAAATATCATGAATATTCTATACTCGAAAATGAGCCCGATGCCTTCTGATCTAGGTTAACAATAGATCAAGATTCTGCCAGCTATTCCTTACCTTATTCTGCAGGCAAGCACCCTAAAAAAAATATTTTGATTCATTTTTAATTTATTTTCAAACTCGAATTTTAAAACAATAAAATACAAAAACATAGTGAGGCTTCAGGTGTAAAGAGAACGATAATGTTCATAACTCAAATAAATAATAAAAGAAAAATATTGTATGTTTAAAAAAGGACTGTCTGACCAGTGATAATTTTTCACTATGTGGACCGTGCGCAGCACACAGAAACAAAATTTTGCGCACACTTTTTTGAATGGATGTGTGGGTGCCGCACAGGAAAATTGGCATTTTGCAAATACAGTCACTAAGTGCACAGTATATTGGGGTTTACATGATATACTAATTAATCAAATCTATGTAATGCATTATAATAAAAACAAGGTTCGAGTTGAAGAGGATGTATATGCAGTGAGTAAGTTATCAACTAAGGCAATCATGGATCGTAAGTAGAAATAATTAATTGTTCGGTTCCAACTTATCCGATTTCTGAAGTTGAGTCATATTAGACTTGAGTGTTTAATCATATGATCGATTAGGTCTTGCGATATGATGATGTATGTTATGGTCAGAGATCGCATGTATATGGTCAAAATTTTGGAAAAATTTGGCCAAAATGCAAATATCAAAATTAGGCCCAAAAATTTATTTCCAATGTCCCTGCACTGACCTTACATAATGGGCTCCATGTTTCTTTCTCTCAGAGTTGTTATTACTTTTTAATATTGCCACATCATTATTTCTGTATTTCTTAATGTTTCTACGTCGTTTCTTTACTTTGTCTACTTCCTACTCTTCTTCAATATTGATACATTGATCCTATGCCTCCCTTCCTCCCGTTGCACCTAATAGTTCTTGGATCGGAAAGGCTAAAGCAGCTGTTGAAGCAAATAAAGAATTATTTATTATATTTGGTGGATTGATTAGTGGTGTAACAGTGGTCTGCACATTCGTAATTGGAAACAATTGGTACTTTATTGCTTTTTTTCTTTTCTATTGTTCTTTTATATAGCTTGTAATTTACTTTTTTACAATTCTTTAAATAGGAAGTTAAAAAATGAAATTGATGTATTAAAAGAAAGGCAAGAAAAAGAAAAAGTAAGACATGAAGGTTTAAGAAATGAAATACTTGCTAAGCTGGAAGAATTGGTGTGTTATTTTCAACTCAAGTATACTGTTTTATTTTGCATTTTACAATTCTTTTAACTCTTTTCAAAACAGCGAGATGTAAATCATGTCTACAATGCCAATTGGGGTGCAATTTTAAACAAAGATGAAGTCGTAATTCCTAAAGCAGTAAAGAGAACATAAATTCTTAATACTTATTTTTAATGTATCCAAAAACCAAAAGCTCCAATATTGCTATATACTGTGAACAGAAATTGATTTGCTTAAAGTAGGAAATAATTTATTTTTAATGCTTATTTTTAATGCATAATTGTAATTCCAAAAACCATAAACTCCAATATTGCTATATAATGCTACTATGAACAGAAATTGACTTTAGAAGTTAAAAATTAATTAAACCATCGAAATTTTAACTGTTGAAATTAATTTAGTTGTTGAAATCAATTCGACTATTGAAATTAAATGAAAATAAAATTATTCAAGTTATAAATATAATATATAAATCTCAAAAATAAGCACCACACCCTCTGCCTTATTTTTTAAAATCTCAGATTAACGGGAATAACTTGAGTAAAGACTTTATTGCTATTTCCGCTAATCTGAGGTCTAGAAAGTAGGGTAGAGGCTTTGTAATACATGTTACATTAACCAATAATATTCAATCTGATGATCAGAGCCAACGGCCAATAAAAACAAATCTCCATCATGCTGTTTTAGGTAGTTATATATATGAGTGTCGCCAAAAGAAAACCCGACAATTTAAATATAGTCTATATTTTGTCGACACTCATATATAAGCAAAATTGCCTTCCCGACACTTGATTAACCTACCCGAAGTAGGTTTAGACTACTGTTTTTTGTATTTTACAGGTTTTTTTTTTATTTCTTGTTTTGCTTCGCCGGCGATCATCAAAATCCGTGATTTGATTGGTCGAAGATCACATGATTTACCTCCGCTTTAGACGTCCCCCAAAAATAGAAATTAGCCCGTACTACGTATGGTAAAATTGACCCAGGAACATTAATAAAATTCCGAGTAATTTTTTTGACCGTCCGGCAGCTAGGGTTAACTGTCCATCGCTTCGCATAATATCTAAGATATTGTTACTAAATTAATATGTAAGATCAAACCTGTTTAAATCATTACAGTAAAAACAAAAGGATTCTCGATCTCGTTTGATTATTTTTACATTAATTTCTACGTCATCATTTTTTCTAATCAATTTAATTTAAATTGATGATGATTCTGACATCGCCATCACTAAGTTCTATATTATTTCACATTTTATTATGCAATTTGTTTTGAAACATTAAAAAGACATATAACCACAACCTCGTTTATTGGCGACTTTAGAACTTCTTATTTATCAAACTATACCTTTTATAGGCCTCAGTTTGACGAGTTCGAATTCACACATGACTTAAGTAAGACTCGAATGGCGTACATAAAATGATGAATTGACATAAAAAGAGTATCTTTAAACAAAAGAACAGACAACCTAATAAAAATTTAAATGTCTAGAATATCTAGGCTCCGGACCCAGCGGTTCCCGTTTCCTAGTTGATTTAAACATGGCCTTTAGTTTAATATCACTATTCCAGTGTTTACTGACTTTCGTACTTTTGAGAGCATTTGTTTGGTTTGTTAATTGTACAGTACTGTACGTACTCAAATTCCAATTAATCAGTTTAACTACAGTATTAATGTTACCAATATCAATCACGCGATATTCTAAATTTTTGGTCGGTTGTTACTGTATATCGTGGAAAGAAAAATTTACAGCATCTTTCATAGATTCTGGGACAGCTAAATTTTCCGGCGACCGAATCGATAAGCTATCAAGTTGAATCAATAATTTACCGTCATCAGCAGAAATCAAACCTTTCAAGTGTTCTAGAATTTGTATTTATAATATCAGTTTTAGCTATTTGGAAAAAAACGCATTTGATTAATAAAGATTCCGTGGTTCGCACTGGGTTTATCTAATTCACGGTAGATTTACTATCGAAGGGAATCTTATACGCACAATACGGTAGCCTCAATATGGATCAGTCTCTGCAGTTATGAATATTCGAGGATTATTAATCAAACTTGGTTTATTGGCCATATTCTCGAATCTAAGTGTAAATTTTGTTGCATAATATATATTATACGTAAATATACAGTATATTATACGTACAATGATTTATTACAATCCTCAATCAAATGCAGAAATGTAAATTATCAAAAAGGTAGTCTCCAAAGCCCTGAGAATATTTATACTAATTTTAGCAAGATATTAAACGGCTAATGCTACGTACGTACGTACGTAAAAATATAGTTAAACAGTGCGGTAGTCGCAATTAAACAAGATTTTTAATACATACTGTATTTTTTCTTCGCATGCAGAAATATGTATGCTACCATCTTTTTATATTACGTCATTTCTGGGCAATTCTCTTTATAGTACAATGAAACTAGGTAACAAAGACTTCAATAATTTAAAAAATAATTAAATAAAAAAAGATGACACTCGTAATACGTAAAAATCAAAAATCATTAATAACAATGGTAACGGTTAAGATAGATAAATAATCTTGTAATCGCAAAGTAGAACCAAAAATCTTATAACGATAAAATATTCAGAATCTTCAAACGTATGTACAGTACATGCATTAGAATTAAAAAATGGAGAATGTATTTATAGTACTGTAGTAAATTTGTAAATAGAACATATATATTACAGTATATATACAGTATATAAATAGGATATGCATTTTATAGAATGTAAAAAATAGGCATTTATTTAGGGAAATAACAAACAAATCATTTGAAAGTTTTTAAACATGGAGTGTAACATGACCTATTTAATTTAAAGCAACCTGAATTAAGCCTAAAAAAGAAACGTACCGATTAGGATAATATCATTATCATGCGATATACGTATATATATAAATAAATAAATAAATTGAACGCTTCTATTTTCAAAGTTTGCAGTTTTGCGTGTTTTATTTTTCTATTATGGAGGTTTCAGAACTTAATGTTGAAGGGAGAGTATCTCCTATAAAACGTACACGTTCACCAGTAAGTAGAATTAAGGACAGCATTAGTAATTACTTTTTTCCTAATTCTGGAAAGGATTCAACCCAACTTGTCGAATTTACGGTCACAGAACAAGAAAGTAAAATAGATCAACTTCGTACTTATTTAGAGGAGTTGGGTCATCCTTTAGATACTTTACAACTAGAAAATTTATTAAAGAAAAATTCTTGGAATGTAATGGAAGTAGCGGATTATTGTACAGATTTAATAGAAGCTGAAGATGGTTTAGTATCAGATATTCAAAAGGATATAATAATGCTTGGAGCTGAAAATGATCGATTTACTAGTTGTTATATAGGTAAAGAAATCATTATTAAATCAGTTAATTGACAAATCAAAATAAATTAAAAATAATTATTTATAGACAGTTTAATGTTTGCAATGTTTGCAAGAACACGGTCTTTTGATGGTTTACTTTTTATTCAACCTGAAGGAATAAATGCAAGAAGTTTACAGACAAATTTACGATTATTTGTGAATCGACTTCGACAAGGGAAATATATAAGTGCATATATGGTTAAGGTAAGAGAAAAAAAAAAGTTGACAAACAAAACAATTGCATAACAATGAAATAATGAAATGTTAAAAAACATGATGACGTCATTAATATTTTGATAGCAATTACGCGAATGTTTATTTGATTGTGGATGGATTGGTAAAGATGAAAATGAAAAGCCAACTCAAGAGGATGCTAGTGAATTATTTTTATTTCTATCATGTCTTTATGAACTTCCTTACCTTCCACTTGGAATTCATTTATTTCACGGAGGAACTAAAGATCCAAATGATGAACGAGTTATAACTGAACGATTGATACAAGTAGCTATACCGGGTGATCCACTTGATGAAGCGCCAGTTTCTTTGGAAGAAGTTTTAATAACACATTTTCATGATAATATCGTATCCGGAATAAAACGATTTTCAGCTGATGATAATGAGCAAACCGAAATTCCAGTTTCAGCATGGCAAGTGCTAAAACTTTTACCATTTTATTCAGCAAGTAATGAACAAGGTAAATACAACTTAAACTAACGAGAAAAAAGAACCCCGAAAAAAATTTAATAGATTAAAATATAAATTTTTTTACATAGGTGAAAGAACAAATGCAATTGAGTCACATTTTCCAACCAATAATCTGATTTTACCATTGGTACTGAAACGATACGGTTACAATGACAAAATGCAACCATTTCGAATAAAGAAGAAAATATATATTCCCCCATCAGTCAATTTTAACTCCTTTGTAAGTTCAGATGCAGCTGACGAACAATGTCATTGTGGCGTTGACATTCAATATCGTTTAAAACTACGGTCAGTTGTATGCCATTATGGAGATACACCCACACATGGACATTATAAAGGTTATACATTAGACGATGTATGTATAAACCACTAGGGAACGGGAGGTACCGGTAGTAAGAGAGAGAGATTTTTTAATACCAATCCTTTTTTTTTTTTTTTTTTTTTTTTTTTTTTTTTAATATAGGAACAAGATCGATGGTATCGGCTTGATGATTTAGATGGTGAGCGTAGTTAAAATAATTAAAATAATTAAAATAAATAGTATGATATGGTCGTTATAAATTTGATTATTGATATTCATTATTATATTTAATATAGGTGAACATGTAAAGGAGTTTAGCACATTACAAGACATGACTTTACTTTTTAGCGAATTTAGTCGACATGGTTATTTACTTTTTTATGAATTGCAACGTTTACATCCGGGCATTGTTGAAGAAGAGTTGGCGATAGAACATGATTACTATGTTGCACAAAATTTGCAATTGGTTGAATTTTTAGATGGTAAGAATAATCAATGCACGGTGCAGTAGCAGATGTATAATAAACATAATATATAAACATATAAAATATATAAACATATAAATATATATAAACATATAAATATATATAATATATAAATATATATAATATATAAAGATATAAAATATATATAAATATATAAAATATACAAATATATATAAAGATATAAAATATATAAATATATATAAAGATATAAAAGATATAAAATATACAAATATAATATATAAATATATACTGTATATGGATTTTTTCGATCAATAGTATGTAATTTTTGAAAATTTTTCTCTTTTTTTTTTATTATTATCTAAAATGTTATTAAAATTAAAAAAAAATGTATATGTACAAAAAAAGAAAAAAGTATATTTTCTGAAATGATAGCAAAAAATAAACGGATAAGACATTATAAATTCTATTATTACCTGTTTGTTAATAAAATTGAGAAATCAATGTAAAATCATTTATGAAATAAACAAACCTAGAAAGCGTTGATCTTAATTATACCTTTCTTTTCCCTATGTAATTATGTCATTATTGATTAATTATGCGGTCGTACTCAAGGAAAGATTCGAATAAGCCGCATCATTGTTAATACCAACTTCTTTTTTTCGCTTTTTCTTTTTGTATTCTCCATCAGCAGAACTTCTTTTATGTTCTTTATCATGTTTATGTCTTCTTTTTTTCTCTACATCATAATCACTATCATGTTTATGCTTCTTTTTCTATATGTTATTGTATTTTTTTTAACTTCTAGATATGCTAAGAATTGTGTAACAGAATAATCAAATAAACATACTTTTTTCTTCTCATGTGTCCGATCATCTCCGTTTGTACTGGAAGCTATTACAACATTGTTATGATAAATTTAATGTTTTTTTGTTTTTTTTCACAAGATTATTATACGATTAACGGACATATTTTAATAATGCATACCCAGTTCTAAATTACTACTGGAGCTACTTTTTGTTGAAGAACGAGAATTATTATTATGCGTTGACGTTGAACATGACGTTGAATATGATTTTTTCTCATCGTCCAAGCCAAATTCAGCAGGATTAAACTATCATATATATATATCCATTAAATTATTGTCTATAATAAATATTTTTGTCTAAAAAATAATGACAATATATACTTACACCTGGAATTTGCCCTGGTTTAAGTAAGTTCAACATATTATGTTCGATAGTTTTAGCATCTAGCGGATATTTTTCTGGTGGATATTTTTCTCCCCATTTTTTATGATTTTTGGTAAGTTTTCTGAGACTTTTATCTGGAATTATCTTCACTTTTCCTATCCGATATAAACCCCCAGAAAAAAAACTTAAGATCTTTTTGTAACTATCTAATCAAGCGAAAAAAAAAAATTTTTTTTCCTATTCTAAAAAAATCACCTGGAAGTTTATTAATATAAGGAAAATATGTTGGGTCCAACTCAACCCCCTTTTCTTTATACGGTCGAACGAAACGATCGTAAATGGCTGTTAAGTCAAAGTCGTTTAAATTTGGACCTATAGGTTCGCTTAAATCACTAGCTGTTCCTTGTGAAAGCGAAATATTACTGGTTGTTTCTATAAAGGTACGTAACATTAGAACGCTTTTAAGGATTTTTTGTAAACCACATTTACTTCACCTTGTGGCTTGATATAATAAAAAAAATTATTCAAATCTGAATTTTCCATTTACTTTTTTTCGAGGACTCAATTTTGAGCCCAAAGGTTTATTATAATAAATATATATTTTTTTTTTTAAAAAAAAAAAAAAACTAAAAAAAAAAGAAAGAAATCTACTTAAGGGACACTGAAAAGACCTGAGCACATAAAAAGTTGTGAGAAATGAAAACGCTTGTGGTACACTGTACCCAGAATTCATAATACGTTTGGCTGTAATTTCAATAATAATTCCTATGTAGTACAATTTGGCTGTTGCTTTGTGATACCATAAAAAGATATAAAATGCATCCTCATCAGTCCACATTACCGCATTCGTAAGAAAAAAATGGTTAGGATTAAAAATACTTTTGTTTTTAATCAATTAAAAATTTAAACAGTTTCTTAATTAAACATATAGTCTGTTACTTTACATACAGACTTGGGTGATCTCAAGATTGAAGTTTTTTGTGAAGCAGTTCCTAAAACGGCCGAGGTTTATATTTAATTCATTCATTTATAAATAATTAATATACAAAGATTGTATCATTAAATAAAAAAAATTCTTTAATATAGAATTTTTTAGCACTTTGCGCAAGTGGATACTATGATAATAATTTAGTTCATAGGTATATAAAAGATGTTAATGTAAAATTTGTAATAGTTATTTCCTGGGCAGTTGGGTATAAGCGGGGCTGAAAGTCCCGCTTATCACATAGTGCCCAGGACATAACTGATTTATGCCCTGCGATCTTGATATAGTGACCAGGGTATAAGTAGGATTTATAAAATGTTAAATTTATTAATCTGATTTAAAATTTAAATCAACATTAGAAACATAAAAGGGTTTATGGTGCAGGTAATTCTATATGAAGTCTATTATTTTGAAGAATATATGACACATTTTAAAATATTGTTCTGATTTTATTAACTTTCTTGTCCTAACGAATGTAAGACCGGTGACCCGACGGGCACGGGCAAAGGCGGAAATTCAATTTGGGGAAGAAAATTTGCGGATGAAATTAAATCATCATTAAAAGTGATTATTTATCATTCGCACGTTGTCTAGATTTACATTTATTAAATTCTTAAAAGTTACTAAATTACTAAATCACTAAATTACTATAATTTTGTTCTCAGCATAACGCGCGAGGAATTGTTTCCATGGCTAACAGTGGCCCGGATACTAACGGATCTCAATTTTTTATTACATACACAAAATTGCCACATCTTGATACAAAGTACACTGTATTTGGAAAGTATGTATATATAAATACAAAAATACCTATATATATTTTTTTAGTCTTTAGTTAATCACATTCATAATATTTATAATATTCTTATTAATGTAAGAGTAATCGATGGTTGCGACACAACATTGGATGCTATCGAAAAAGTTCCCGTCGATGAAAAAAATCGACCTACTCAAGAAATACGAATTAAATCTATTACAATTCATGCAAATCCTTTGGCTGAACGTGATTAACTATATAAATTCATGAATTCATATACGTAAAGTATTTTGAGCTCTTTATGGTTAAGTTAGCAGCAACTAATCGATTTAAATTTTTGAAAAATTTTAATCAATTAAAATAAAATTAATTAATTGTAAATCATTTGATAACCCAGTTAACCAATAAAATTAATTAAAAACATGTGAAAATGAATCTTCAACTAAAGTTTACTAACTAATTGATTAGAAAAATTTTGCTGATTCGAGTATTAAGTAATTTTGAAATATACAAATTTCAATCTTTCTCTAGGTTAATGGCATTGCCAAATTTTCCATACAATAGTTTTTTCAAATTTTCCATATCGTTAGTTAAAGATCTCATTTCACTTCTGAGTTTATCTGACTCTTCTGATAAGAGCTCTTTCTCCTTTTTTGTACGCTGTATAGCGTCTTCTAAAGAAATTGAAATAAATGCATCACCTATCTTGTACCTTTATAAGTTACAATAAATAAAACTTATAAATTTCAATTAATTGATATTATGAGTAAAATATTATACAAGATAAGAAAAAAAATATTAACCTGACAAGTTCGCCTTCATCGCCTATTAGTTCTTGTTGTTCTAATTCTTGTAATAGATCATCAAGATATTCATTTTCTTGCTTTAAATTATAATGCATAAATTAGCCTATCAAAATAGAAATTTGTTTAACATCTGAACGATCTATTTTTAACCACCTTCTTTCCCTCAAATTTTTCTTCAATATCTGAGAATTTAACGTTCAATTTACTGAACGAATTTATATTTTGTTGATCTTCCCAAGTTACTTCAGCTTCAACTTCTTCGTCTTGATTAATCTAAAAAAAAAATGAAATAAAATAATTAGGATTAATATATTTTTTTTACGAGTATTTTTCATAACTCACCATACGCATTGTTTGATGATGACAAAGATTATTAAAATGATATAATAAATCAATTTTAAATTTTCTTTTTGTATTACTGTGTCAGGTGTCAAAAATACTGCATTACTCCGTGTTTAATGATCAATCTTTATGTCACAAATCCGGACCTCCGATTAATCTTACATAAGAAACAGTTACGTAATATTTTATTAGAAGCAGGTTATATATCATCGTACCAAGGTACATTTTTGTTATTTTTTGTTATACAAACAAAATTTAATTATTTTATTGGTTCCGAACTTATCTGAGAGTCCGAATTTGCAGAACTTAGTGTACACCTGGTACGTAAGTACGTACGTATTTTTATGTCCACTGAACCTAATAAATATTATATCAGATAAACTCCAAACCTTCCAACCTCAAAAGACGGATACTATGAACTTTATAAGGCCTAGCTGCTTGGGTGAATCTTAGAGGGTATAACTACTGTATCTGGTTATAAAATATTGAATTACTTTTAATACTGTAATAATATGACGTATTGTACTGTAGTATCTTAGAATACCGGCATTTTTAAAATTGTAGTATCTGTAGGTATTGCTGTATTGTGTGAAGAGCCAGTGGTGAATGAAGTTTGCTGCACTGACTCATGTTATCCCTCGTAAATCAATTAATCACTTTACTTTTTAATCAAAAGAAACTTGGTTATTAACGTTAAAATTTAAATTATTATTATTAATCACATGAAAAGTATATTATAATTGTCGTCATAGTGATATTTCTATTGGTTCCCATACTGAGGTTCGAAATTTATACGTAGAAATTTGCTAAACATAAGAAAATCGAACACGTCACCCATTACAGTAAGTGATTACTGTATTACTAACGCTAAATATGTAGAACTTAACAAACATTCGACTTTAGACCTTCCGCAATGAGTCGACAACCAGCTCAACAGGAAAACGAAATCGTTGCGTGGTATAGAAGCATTCCAACATGTACAAAATTCTTATTCACAAGTTTCCTTGCAATAACTATAGCAGGAAACTTTGGTTTAGTTAATGTTTACTCGCTTTTGTACTTTCCTCGCGCAATTTTCACTAAATATCAGGTAAGGATCAATTCTTTCGAAATTTTTTTTTTTTTTTTCGTGTTCTCACCCCAATTTACCTCAAATATTATTAGATATGGAGAATTTATACGCCTTTTTTTTACTACACACTTGATTTAAATGGTGCAATTCAATTATATTTGTTGTATCGATATTCAAGAGAGTTGGAGACTACGAGATTCTTAGGGCGTACTGCTGAATATGTTTACTTCCTTATAGTGGAAGCAGGATTGATACTTGTATCCTTATTTATTTACTTAATATTATTTTCTTTAATTAAATTTCATAAATCAACCAATCAATCCCGAAAATTTATTATTTTTTTTACGAGCTTTCAGTTTTAACTATGGGGTGATATAGAGTTTTGTTTATTCTGTAATTTAATTTTTTCTTGGATCTTATTATTATCATGAAAAGTTATTTCAGTTTTATTTGAAATTTTTATTATCTTTTACCTTTTTTATTTTTTTCTTAGATATTCAGCTGGTTATTAAGTATAAGTTTACTTAATCAATGTTTGGTTATGGCTATAATATATTTATGGGCACAAGAATTTCGTGAGGCTGTCGTAACTTTTATGTTCGGATTAAGGTTTAAGGTAAATATATATATATATATATATAAATATGTATAGTATATATATGAATGATGGTAAAAGAAAAACTTGTAACTCCATGACTTTTCGACTCAGCTTCCGACAAATGATCCCATAATTATGCCATATGATTAAGTATTTAAATGTAAAGAATGGCCATAAGAATCACGTGGAATCAAAATCTGAGTCTGATAGGGTAAAATTAATTAACCAATTTTACATGTTTCTTTTACCGTCACTTTTATATATTCTCTTAACATGCGGATTTTTCAAAGAGATGTGATAAATCAGGTTATTATTACTTTCTTTAAAAGGGATCTTACTTTCCTTGGGTTCTTCTTTTATTTGACGTTCTCCGAGGGGGAGATGTATTGTCAACAGCTATTGGAATAATTGCCGGTCATATATATTATTATTTACAAGATCTCTACCCTGCTGCTGGCGGACCAAGGCTATTAAATACACCACAATTGTTGTATAGATACTTTCCGCCTTCATCTAGTGGAGTTAGAACATCATTTGGAACTGCTTTTGCACCAAGAAATCAGAATACTGCGGGTGAAGGATCAACGCATATATGGGGTAGAGGACAAAGATTAGGTTCATCATAAGCTTTTATTAGGTTTAAAATTAAAAAAAAAATATAATAGTAAATTCATTTTTACTACTTATTTGACATTATGATGTCAACTAGTTGCGCTTATTTTCGAAATATTACAATGTAGATGTCTTTGTATGACATTTCAAAATTTGTAAATGAATAATATTGTTTAATGAAATTTTATATTTTTAGTTGAAAATTCATTTAATTTATTATTTAATGTTATACATTTAATCGAATAATCCATTCAATTTATTCAATCTAAGATCCCTTTATATTTTAAAATTCTGGGCAGAATAACTAATTACAAACTTAATAATACTAATAATTGAACTAGTGGGTAAAACAACTTTAATCATTTTTCTTATCCTCATTCCGATTTTCATGTTTCAACAATAATTCTTGATAATTATCAGTCAATTTCATATATTCCTCATTCTGCTGACTAGCCTGTTTTTTCAAATTATCAAAATCTCTCGCTTTCTTCTTTTCTTCATCCAATTCATTAGTTAAAGTTTCCAACTTTTTCTGTAGAGCTTTCTCGGATTCAGTAATTCTCGCATATTCTTTTGCCTGATTTTCAGCCTATCAAAGGAGGAAATATATATATGTATAAATATGTATATAATACCATAAAAGCGACTAAAGAAATGTTACTTGTAATTAATTAAAAATCTAACCTGCTTCTTAACGACTTCAACTTGATCTTCGCTCTTTAAAAGCTCCACAATAAGTACATATGTTCTATTTAATATCCTGATGAATTATCAAAGTCATTAGGCAAAATATTTATGAGAGTTTGTCTAATGAGAATTATCTAATGAATAAATCAAGATCCATTAAAATAAAAAAGAAGCCTTACAAAGATAAGAATAATGTGAATCCGGTCAAATACCTAAAAAATACAAAGTAATAAAGTAAGATTATATATAATAAACCGAAAAAGTTTAAACTAAATAATAAATAAATAGATATAGTAAATGTACATGTTGCGTTGATTATAAAACTTTTTGGCATGAATAGTCGCTTCACTTCTTGCATCGATAACATGCTCAGTAGTACTCTCACTTTGTACATTATATGTACGATTGGTGGCATCTTATAAATAGATATTAAGAAGAAGATGAAAAATTTTTTATTGGAAATAAAATTGACATATTTAATTGCAAAATAATGATACCTAAGAAAAGGATGAATACAAAACTATTGAAAATAGACACGATCGTTAAATTTAGACAATTTAATAAAAAATTATATATACAAAATTTTAAAAATAGACTTACATAAACGCGAATTTCAGGACATATTGCGATTGTGCTGCCTTTTAATTTCAATGTTTCAATAAAATAGTATTTATTTTGACTCAAAATATTAATAAATATAATTTAACTGACCAGTTGTGACTGAGATACCCAACGCAACATAGCCCTTCGCCAGGAATATGGGAAAGGTAACTTAATAGATACAATAATGTCATTTTTAGGCCTGATATTTAATATAAAAACAAAAAAACTTTGAAAATACTCACGATCAGAAACAGAAAGGCTATTGACTAGAGTAAAAGCAAATGTAACGTTATACAAAACATAGAACGAGTAATAATTTTTTAACTATACATATATATATTTGATACCTCAGCAATTAGCAAAACGAACACGAGGCTATAATAGAGTGTCATATTGAATAAGAAAGAAAAAAACGGTGAATAGAAAAAAATTTATCGAGTACTGCAACGATAAATTTAAAATTTTTGATTTCGTTTAAATAACGTCAACATTCTACGATTGCCACATGATCAAATGCGGGAATTTCCTAATCCGCATTTATCTTGAAAAAATATTTTATCGTTATGATACGTAAAAAAGTTTTTTTTTCTTAAAAAAAACTTATCTACATCATATTCCCAAGTTTAACTAGAGCGTTTAACGAATATGTATATAAGTACGTAAGTATTGCAAACCTAATGTTATATACATAACCTCAATATAGCATAATTGTAATTCTCAATTTGGGAACTTGGACTTTCTTATTAAATAATACTACTTTACACATATTGATATTAGTGGCAATTTCGCCACTGGATTATATCATACAAAAAATTATTTAATCTTGATTTAAACAAGTAAATATATACAGTATATTTTTTTTAATCATATATATAGTTAACTATATCCATTATAACATGTCCATTATTCGTATGGTTTGACTGTAATCTAAGATTTATGTAAGGTGAGTCTCATCTCATGATCCGGTGATTAATATGGTAACTTCAGAACTTAGGTTAGAATTTGCTTATCAGTCTATATACGTATACGTATATTTTTAAGATTTTGTTAGGTTAATATTTATCATAGAAATAGGATTAATATTAATAAAGTATTAAACTTAGCAAGTATATATATATATATTCTAGAAAATTGCAAATTCTAGTATATAGAATTAAAGAATTTTTTTATTAAATTTGGTTTATAACAGTACTCAAGATTGTAATGAATATATATACTGTATACACAGTCGCATCCCTTTAAGTGCACGCCCTCGGATCCATAGTAAAAAAAGGCAAAATGTTCACTTAGAGGAAGTGTGCATTTAGAGGGGTTAAATATGGGCTAATCGGCATTGGGCCCGAATAGAGTCACTAGGTTAAACATCACTTGTTTGATTTTTTTTTTTTTGATTGGTCTAATGAATTATTAGAGTGATTATTAAAAGTTTATTCTGATGAATATGCTTCAAACCCATTAGATTATCTTAAAACCTATTTGATTATCATCTAATTATGAGCCTAAACCTACTGAAACATGCCACGTATATAAAAATTTTGCCTCAAAAATACTGTAATATACTGTATATAATTAATTGTTTAATAAGCTGTCTGCATTATAAATAACCTGGTTTACTATCAAAAAGTTAGAGTACAGGGTTCTCTTCTTTGCATAAAGATACATATTGGCCTATATATACTGGTGCATCAAAAGTCCACACTCTTTTTTTTAGTGGTTTATATTAATATAATAATTATTAAAGATTAAGAGTTAGGGGCTATTTTTTCATACGTATACCCGGCATATTAAATATAAATTTTTAATATATAAAATTTAGAAAAAAAAAGTCAGGCGGCCATATGAACCCAGAAATTAACTTTGCATAGCCTTAGAGTTAGAATTACTACAGTATAAAAATTAAAAAATATCTGATTAATAGCTAGTTTTTATACTAATGTATATAGTACATAGGTATAAACCACTATGAATGTGTTTTACAGTATATAGTTGGTCTTTTTTTATACTTATAAAATACATTACGTAACTTATCGTTATATCTTCAAACTTTTGTTACGTCGCATGACATCAACTTGATATATATCAGCCAATCAGAAGATAATATATCAGTATACATGTGTTTCCAATCACATGAATTTCCTCTTTTATAAGAATGATGATGAAAGATAGACGTATCGTATCTTCTACTCTTAAACTTGCAAAATGAACTCGGAGACTTTTCTTGATTATTATGAAATTCTCGAAATTTCTGAAAACGCTACAAATGAGTAAGAAATGCTTTCTTAAGTCATAAAAAATTGTTCGTGTTCTTTAAACAGAAACTTCAAAATTTTATTTTAAAAGAGAAATTCGTGATGCGTATAAAAAGAAGGCCCTAGAAACGCATCCAGATAGATTCGTTCAAGGCTCCTCTGATTCAGCAATAAGCCCTACAATATCACAAGAAGAGGCCAAGGATCGTTTTCAGAAAATTGCAGACGCTTATTATGTTCTTAGTGATGAAACACGAAGGGCACAATATGGTACGCGTTTAATAAAATAGGCTTCTTTTTTGAATTCATTAGTAATTGATAGCTTTATAGATCGTGTAAAAACCTCTCGAAAAAAGAAAGGCGAATCAGCAACGACATTGGATGTCGGTCGAGCTAATGCAAATCAGATCTTTGGTGATGTATTTGAAGAACTATTGAGACCAGAAGTAGATAATCCACATTGGTTTTATGCACCAATTGGAGCGGTTACTGGTGGAGCGTTGGGTTTTATTTGTGCTAATGTTCCTGGATTGGTTTTGGGTGCGTACGCGGGAAATAAACTTGGATCAATTAGGGATGCTAAAGGTATATTATTATTATTATTATTATTACTTTTTTTTTTTATTAGCTTGTAAGTTGAAATTAATAATCAAAATTTTGGGATTCTTATTGAATCCATTTTTGGGTTTATTTTATAGGGGTATCTGTATATGATGCATATTCAAAATTATCTAGTAATCACAAGGCAGCTATATTATCCTCTCTTGCAGCCAAATTAATTACAAGCGGCAGAATTTAATTATTACATGTATACGTATGAAATTATCTATACACATTATTCATTATTAAATTATTGCCAAACACAGTAATTTAATATACATATGTTATATAATATATATATTTATTAATTAAACAATTGTTTGATGTATATTGAATTAACGTTTTATTCTTTATGAATGATTCCATTAAATATTGAGCAGTTCGTACATGTGTTGTAAGTGAATTCGATTCAGAATTCCTATTTTTCAGATAAATAATCTGTTAGCAATAATATTTCATAAAGTTTTTAACTCAAAATGTCGACCTTATATTTAAAACGAGTTTTAATTTTATGATATATATCACTTGTTACTTGCAAGTTACCAATCAAGACAAATTGGTTATAATGTAAAAATGGAATATTTAAATTTTAACAGTTAATACTACCTACTGCTACGAAGCCACTGAGAGCTGATTGAATATTAAGATTTAAAACTTTTTAGTGTGCGAGAAACTACTTTCAACTTCTATATCTGGTACATAATGCAATAGTAAGGGTGAATTAAAAATAATTTTTGTAGATGTAGATGCACCGATCAGATCCACTGTAAATAGAGAATAAATTTTTTAAGATACTGTAAAAAATAACATTAGATCGTAATGCAATGTTTTTAAACTATCATGTATTTTTTATTATGTATCAAATCCACTTAAAGTGAACTTGGAATTCATCTACATTACGGGATAATGAAATTGTACCACAAGACAAATGTACATGCTTCTCACGGCAGTGATGGTAAAGGGACAGTTCTTAGGGACAATGCTAATTCACGTGATTGAGTTGTGATTGGTTAGTTAGCGGTTAGGTAGTCATTTCACGAGGGTTGTTAAACGTTAGACTCAAGTAAAAAATCATATGAGAGAAGTATAATTGATTTAATGCAATTCAATGTACAGTACCGGTACATTGCTTAAGTATGCACATGAAATTTCACATTTTAGTACAAATTGAAGACCGCTCTTGTATATCTATTCAATTATCATGTGGTTATTGAAGTAAACTTGGAGTCGATTTAAAAAGCTTGACTCAACCCAATTTAAAAACCTACTAAATTGAGCTGTTTAACATCCCTACATTTTGCATATAAATTGCGTTACATGACTACTGGCGTTGAACAAAGGTTACGTTTTTGATGCAATATATTTTTCAAAATCAAAAGAGTAACTTCGTGAAAAAAAGTTCTTGATTTTAGTAAATATATTGCATCAAAAATGTAACTTTTGTACATCTCTTCTCTCATTCAACAAGGATTATTTTTGCAAGAACTACGAATAAATTATGTTTACCGGAATTACGAAAGTGGGCCTTTGCCTTGAAAATGATCTTATACTGTATAACAAGGGTTGGCAATGGATATACTCCGTTGAGAAAATTACCAATGGAGCGAATGAAGCCCAATGGAGCTAATGAAATGAATGGAGCCAATGGAGTGAATATAGCCAATGGCTCCCATAGAAAAATTAACGAAACCGATGAAGAATAAAGCTCTAATCTATATCTCATATACTAATAGCTGACCTGTTGAAACAAATCAATGCCAATAGAATTGGTTGGCTTCCATTGGTTCTATTCAGAAATTATTCTCAATAGAGCAATGTCAATGGAGTTGTTCACCATTCGTCCCAATGGATAAATGTGTATAACATAGTATATAATTACTATTTCCCATAAAGTCATTTAAACTCCATATTTAATAGATTATGGACAGTATTGGCATTGGACATACATTCAAAATCTTTTATATGTCTAATATTTTTTAAAATTATATTGGATATATGTCCATGAATCTTACTAGAAGTCTATTTTCCGGAATTACGATTAATTCTACCAAAATTATGTTTACCAGAGTTACGAAACATATAAAACTTAATATAGATTACTGCATCATATATACTGTATATAAAATTCAAAAATAATTACCATATTAATGTTAATCAGAACTAAAATTTCGTGCACTACTTAAGATTGAATCCTTCATTATAGCCTCTAGTTGCCAGAGAATGAGCTGGTTAAGTGTGAAGAAAAAAGCGTACAGATTACAGTTACCTAATCTTTCGATCTTTTATGCATAATAACTCAAGTTATTCGGCAGTCGTAGACTGCCAAAAAACTTGAGTTATTAATTTTTTATATTAAAAACAACTGCAAAATAAACTCAAGTCATTTTGTATGCCCTATCGTCATAGGATACCGGATAATACCGTTATTGAATGCGAAGCACCAATAACTTTCGTATCTGGCAGTAAAATTTAATATTCCAGCTTCTGGGTCCCTTCAGGACCCAGAGCTGGTATATTAAAAATACAGCCAGATACTCGAATGGGAAATGATTATCATGTGATCCTACGGATCACATGAAATCATTTATCCAGAAAAATAACTCTATAGTACTTGTATAAAAATTTTATATTTTAAACAGTATTCGTATGGCAAAATGGCTCCGAATTGAAACACAGCAATAGCAATGATTAAAAGTGCTCTAATATTTTCGTTATCTAAATTCTAAAATTCTGCAAAATTTATACGTAATCTATACTTAATTATGCTGTCCAAAAACAATAATGTCTTATTATGGTAAATAATGATAAGACTACGTATTACAGTACGTATTCTACGTAACACTCCAAAACGATAACAGATAACATATAATGAAGCCCTAATTTTATAAATTACGTAGTAAATCCGAAATTATCCATAATGACCTTCTATATCGATATACCGTAATGTAAATACGCAGTATATAAAAACAAATTTATAATTATTGTGGCGGCTTATGCTAAAATCGGCTTATGTTGAAAGTTGAGGTCTCTATTTAAACTACGTATAACTGATACGTAATATCTACTAAAATCTACGTACGTACATCTCGTACTTTTTTATTAATAATATTTCCCAAACCTTAACCTAACTATGAAAAAAAAACCACAGAAATAATTTTACAATTTAATACGGCAAAATTTTGGCATAAGCTGCCGGTAACAACAATTAATAAAAATGCCTATGTGATGCCAAGTAAATGGCTTGTCGGAGAAATGACCACCGGGAAAATGTACAACTACCATTTCGAATAGTTAATTGCACTTCGTGAATATGGTCAGCATATTTTCTTAATGAACAAATAAGTAAGTCTTATTGGCATTTTTTTATGAATATAGTCAACAAATTAGCACGCATTTGCGTTAACCGAATGATTAATTTTGCAGCAGCAACATACTTGCGATGTTGGTCATATAGTCTATTTAACATCAGGCTATTAATTTCAAATTTTTATAAATATTGGCTGATTAATATGCAGTACGTAGAAATCTTTCAAAAATACTATTAATACTATTACTATATCAAATTAATATTTTTAAAATGAACCATTTACCAAACGATGCATTATCAAAATATTTAAATATCTCGAAACAGATTATGGATCATGCCTTCTTGTAAACCGTTTATGATGTAGAATTGTGGCAATATTGAAGTTCAGTAATGCGGGAATAAAACATGTGTTTTAGGATTAAAATGCCGATATTGATCCCTCATGATGTTAAACTTATAAACTCAGTGTTGGCAGAATATGGACATGGACAATATGGACCATTGGAAATGGACATTTATGGACTACAGGCGTTCTCATTCACCTACCTCAATGGACTCAATAACGAATTTGATTGGTCTGTTTGATCAAACTAGCCAATCAGATTTTTTATTGAATTCATTGAGGTAGGTGCTTGAGAATGCCCTAAGTCCATATTGTCCATATTTTTCTATTGGACATAAGACACTTAGTCCAAATCAGACACGTAAGTTTGCTACTCCGGATAGAATAAGCCAAAATTAGGGCAAAGATACTATATATTTGGATTAGTCCAAATGCCAACACTGTACGTAAATAATGTAAAATCATTATTTGTCATTGAAAACCGATTATACGAAATTCTATGAATAATGATTATTTCTAGGGATGTCCGATCCTAGGATCTAAAAAGACGGTCCTGGATTCGGTCCTTAAAACATAATACATTTAGATCCCGTATCAGATCTTGATTTGAATCCATCGAATAAGTCCATCCGATCAAATTAATTTTGTATTGTTATAATAACTCAATTCAGGATCTAAGTTAGGGATGTTAAGTGGTGCGTCTAGTCCGGTCCCGGCCCGTCCCATAAAAAGTTCGGTCCAGGACTAGTTGAAAACTAGTTCACCCCTTGTTAAAAACAAGTCCTATAGTAGTCCTACCCTAGCGGTTTAATAATATATTGCTTTTTATTACAAACTTTACCATTATTGATATAAAAGTCGGCATTTAACTAATTTTAACCTAATTCACCAATTAGAGTATCGGTATCTGTCATTGATTTCCCAATTAGCGAATTTTATTTAAAGTACCACCACTCAGGGTGTATTACGTATTATTGATTCAAGACACTCTATTCATATTATGTGAGAGCTGGACCAGTACTGAACTAGTCCCAACTAGTCCCTGAAAAGTCCGGGTCTCCCTCGTGGATCATTTAACATCCCTAATCTAAGTCTTATAAAATGTATTGTGTTTTCATGTGATTTAAGGATCGAATCTCTACTGATCCTTGAAGGATCGGACCGGACCGGTTAGGATTCGATCCCAAAGGACCGATTAACATCCCTAATTATTTCTGAATAATTGCGTGTCTCAAATTCGAATCAATAAATAATCAGCAATCCAAGATATAAAAAACTTCCGATACCACGGGGGTGCAATATTATTGTTCATTATTATTGTTAAGAGTATCTCTGAGAATAATGCCGTTTGGAATTGGAATAATAGTACCAATGCTATCAGCAAAATAAATCTTTGCAACGTTCACCCTTTCGATTCTCATATGGACGTTTTTCTGAAAAGTAGCGACAGTTATGTTATCGTTTTCATATGAAAAAGAACTTTAAAATCCCATTTCTCCAGAAAAGTCGTTGACGTAGTCTTTAATAATCATCTTGTAGATTTAAATTT